AAGGAAGGAAGGAAGGAAGGAAGGAAGGAAGGAAGGAAGGAAGGAAGGAAGGAAGGAAGGAAGAAAGGAAGGAAGGGAGGAAACAGCAGCAGTAGACCCACAGAGACTCCTGATATGAAGAGATAAAAAACCTAGACTAGAAAACTTGGTGTTCAAAGATAAGCTTCAGACCTTTATAAAAATCACAAATGAATAATAAAAAAGAAGGAAAACCCACTACAGATATTAAAAACAGCAAAATTGAAAATTCAAAGGCCAAAAGTAAAGAGCTCAATGATCAGGTTTTCCAGTCAGTTCAATGAACAAGTTAGTGAACGAAAAGCTAGTCTAGGCTGGGAGTAGTGGCCCCATCTACAGTCCCAGCACTTCAGAGGCTGAGGCAGGAGGAGCGCTGAGAGTTTGAGGCCAATCTGGATTACACAGTGAGTTTCAGGCCTATCTGGGCTACAGGGTGAGCCTGTGTCTCAAAAGGAAACGTAGGGATTGAGATGTAGCTCAGTCAATGGAAAGCTTGCCTAGTACACATGAAGCCCTGGGTTCAATCCCCAACACCACCTAAACTGTGCATAGTGGCACGTGCCTGCAATCCCAGAACTAGAGAGTTGGAGGAAGGAGGACCAGAAGTTCAATGTCATCCTAAGCTACCAAAAGAATTCATCTGCAAAAGCAAAAAAAGAAAAAAAAAAGGAAGAGGTTGGAAATGCAAAAGGTAAACTAAGACACAAGCTTATGGGGGGGAATTCTAATCAGTATTCATCTACAGTCACAGAGGCTGCCAACAAGGCCTGAGAAGAATAAAGTCATGTCATGGAGAAAATGGAAAATCCCCAGAGATGAACACAATCATAAGTCTTCAACCTAAAGTGATCTGACCATCGTAATTTAAAGGAAAGCATTCTGGGTGTTTCTAAGTGTCATCTGGTCTTCAGGAGCTGCACAGCCAATTTTTTTCTCATCATAGCGAGGAGTTCCTTTTGCTCTCTTTGGGCTTTCCTTTCAGCTATTGCTTTACAGTCTCCCCTCTCAGACCCACTTCAATGTAAGCTCCTTGCAGGCAGGGGCTGCAGTTGCCTTGGTTTTTATTCCTAGTTCCTGATCCTTTGGGTGACCCTGTTATGTGGCCAGTAAACCCCTGGAGCAGAGAAAGAAGGAAGGAAACTCAGAGAGCGCACACTTCTCATGGAAACAGACAAGGAAAAGTTACAGGTTCGTAAGGAAATTCTCTACTGGTTGGTAATAGTGTATGTGCATGTGTGTGTGTGTGCATGCGTGTGTATGTGCGTGTGTGTGTGTGTGTGTGTGTGTGTGTATGTGTATTCATATAGCTGAGAGTACTTGTTGCTCTTTTAGAGTACCTGGGGAGAGTCCCTAGCAGCAGCTACGTGGAGGCTCCCAACCATCTGCAACTCCAGTGCCAGAAGATCTGATGCCCTCCTCTGGCCCCCATGGGTTCTGCACACATGTTGTTCACATACAACAGGCAAATACTCATACACATAAAAAAAAACTCCTAAAAATATTTTGAGATAAAATGTGTCTGGTTAGTTTGCTCTCTCTCTGTCTCTGTCTCTCTCTGTCTCTGTCTCTCTGTCTCTGTCTCTGTCTCTCTCTCTCTCTCTCTCTCTCTCTCTGTGTGTGTGTGTGTGTGTGTGTGTGTGTGTGTGTGTGTGTGTGTTTGAAGACAGGGTTTCTCTGTGTAGTCCTGGCTGGCCTTGAACTCAGAGGCCTCTGCCTCCCGAGTGCTGGGATTAACGGCATGCATCACCACACCTGGTTTGAGATAAAGAAATTTTAAACTTCCAATCATAAACTGTACCATGGCCTAGGTAGGGTTTAGCCTCCAGAAGTTCACATTCTGGAAGCCTGGTCCTGTGCAGCAGTGTCAAGCTGGTGGACATTTTAACAGATGGGGACAACCAAAAGGTAATTAGGTCACAGGGCTCCACCCTCACAAATGGTGAACAGCGGTTAGTCCGGGAGTGGGTCAAGTCTGGGAGGAGCGATTAGTCTCCTGGCCCCTCCCTAACCTCTCTTGCTTTTACACCTTCCTGTTTCTTCTGCAGGAGGTTGCTTCCTTCCACTCCGCTGCCAGGAAGTTCTCAAGGGGGTGACAATGCCACGTTACTCCGGCCTTCCCGCCACCGGAACCGTAAGCCAAATAAACCCCTTTTCCTTACAACATACCCAGCGTCGGGTGTCCCATTACAGCAGCACAAACGGGACACAGGCAGACTCTGTGAGAATAAGATACTTTCTTGACCGCGTAAGGATTCAGTTCGTCATCCTCAGCCTCACTGAGAGAGAGAGACCCGAGCATGAGGCTCGGCAAAATGGAAAAAGGAAAGCGTGGCAGGTACCAAATCCTGGAAAACAAAGGAATTCATTAATAATTGATTATTAATTAAAAACTAAATAAATAATTAATTTCAATTATGAGCCACTACGTAAAGACTAATGAACCAACCTGGAATGGAATTATTTCCACTCGGTAGAGAGGGAAGACGAGATGGGGCAGAGAAAAACTTATTCAAGGCATCGCTCTTCTTATGTGGGAAGGACACAGCCAAGGCTTAATTCTAGACATAGGAGGAGCACAAAGGTAAGATAAAACAGAGGGAAAAGTCACTGTAACAGGTTACACACCGTGTTACTAAACCACTTACACAGCATAAATTCGCTTGATAAACACAATATTTTTCTTTTGCCTTTGGACAGCAGGGGACATCATGAACATAAAAAGAAGCTGATTCTAACTCCTTCATGTACTTCTGAGCCATTTGATTTCTTAAATAAGCTTACTTACTAATTACAGAAAGAAAACTTAGGTCTCCAGGACCTTTCCTTTTAATGTAACAAGAGTCTGAAAGGGTTTCAAGGACTACGAGGTTTTTTTTCTTTTTTTTTCTTCCACCACTACCCGCCTTATCCAGTGATTCTGCAGGAAGTTCCTTTGGAAAAAATAATAGGGGGGCACAAGAGAACGGGGGTATCATTAGCTGTTTTCAAGTCAGTGAGGATGAAAGCAGTTCCAGTAATTAGAGGAGAGAAGAAATGGACATGCTGACATGACATCGTGGGGTGAGAAAGGAAGCCAGAACTAGGAGGAAATTATCTGCAAACAAACTTGACAATGTCCATCAATAGTCATTTTACACACCGTGCTTTTTCAGGCAAAGCTTACTTTAGAAGTCATCCTAAAGAAATCAAATCAATAAAAAGCAAAGGAAACTATCCCAGTAAATATGCTTAAAAGCAAAAAGTTGGGAGTGTTCTCAATGTAAAAGTTTAGAAATTGTAACTGGCCCTGTAGACACAAGACCCAAGGGACTGGAGTGTAGCTCAGCTAGAGCGCTGGCCTAGTAGAGCCCTGGGTTAGGTGAACGGATGTGGCGGCACATGACTATAGCCCCAGCCCTCAGGAGACAGAGGCAGGAGGAGCAGAAACATGAGGTCATCCTTGGCTACATAGTGAGTTTGAGGCCACACTGTGCTACATGTGACCCCATCTCAAAAAGTAAACTAAAACAAAAGTTGCATTTTTAAAAAAAAGATAGAACACACATTAACAAATTGTTATTATAATTAAAAGTAACTTTTAATACAACAAGAAATACATATGTTCAAATGGCATTTTCCCACCTTGAGACAAAGTCTCACTATGTCAACCAGGCCAGCCTCAAAATCACAGAGATCTGTCTATTGCTGCCTCCCAAGTGCTAGGATTAAAGGTGTGTGCCATCACATCTGGCAGTCTAACTATATTTTGCATATCGTAGTGAAAAATTAGAACCACATTGTGGGCTGGAGGGATGGCTCAGTGGTTAGGAGTTTTTCCTGCTCTTCCAGAGGACCTGAGTTTGGTTTGCAGCACCACCTTTGACTCCAGTAACCCTCTTCAGGCCGCCATGAGCGCTACCACACACTCAGCATGTGTTTCCACTGACACACACACATACACATATATACACGCTTGGCCGTAATGCCTTGCAGAAATGTAGTATTAAATCAAAATGACTGAGTACAACCACCATATCTTTAAAAGTGAAGGAAAACCGGTTCTCTGTGGAAGATTGAATCCATAATAAGCTACACCGTGTGGGGTGTGTGGTCATCATATTAGAAATCCCTAGGAATCTATGAAGTAGAGAAAGCAGAGAGAAGCGGGCTTACAAAGAAAACTTCATGCTCCAGCAGATTCGGCAGAGATCTGAGTGTTCCTTGCAAAGATCGTGAAAGAGCTGTGGACCAGCTCGGAGACCATAACAACCAGGTTGTGGTTTGAATATGAAGTGTCCCCATAGGCTCTTGTGTTTGAGCACTTGGTCCGGAATGGTGGCGTGGGTTTTGGAAAGTTGTGGAACCACTAAGAAATGGAGCCTCGCTGGAGAAAGTGGGCCCACTGGGAGAGGGCCATGAGGCTTGAGAGTCCAGCCCCACTTTCTGTCAGCTTTCTGTTTCCACACTCTGTCTCAGACCAGCCACTTCAGGTTCCTGTGTCCCTGCCTTCTCCACTGTGACGGACTGTCTGTACCTTGAAACCACATACCCAAATCAACCCTTCCTTCTCCAAGTTGCTTTGGTCGGCTATGTCATTACAACAAGGAGAAAAGTAACAAACTCGCTAGTCCTGGTCACCAAGTTGGCGGGTCCTTCCCTGTGTGGACTAAGAAGCACACGGGCAAGGCTCGGGCCTCCGATTGGAAGAGGGGTGCACCATGGGTAGGAAAGATAGGAAGGTGCTTTCAGGGAACCAAGACTCGCAGAAGGAAAAGGAGGGTCTGAGTTCTGAGGCGGCTCTGCCTGCTTTTCCACCTAGCTGCAGGATGTGCCCTCACCCACAAGTGCTGGGCATGAACAGAAAGACCATCGTCTATCAACAGCCAAAGGCAACCTCTCATTTTCCATACAGGAAAGAGACAAGCATACACAAAGGAAAGAATGCTGTACAGCCACCAAGACTCCCGGCCCTACTTCAACAATGGCCGCCATCTTGTTGGGCTTGTTTTATATGCAACACCAGCATAATTGTATTTTCATACTTAGTTTGACTCTGACACATCAAGTGTTTTTAAAAATTCTGCACTCTTGCTTCCACATGTTAATAATGAAGCTATAATATCATAATAGCCCATTACAACTTGATTGTATTTCCCAAAAATGGTGACAATAGCTTCTCCCATCTTCTGCACCCCTGGTTTACCACACTCCATCAAGAACTGAAGTCTAATTTCTTTTCTTGATTCTGGGTGGAACTTAGTCACTCACTGTAATTACACAATGCGTGTGAGCAGGTGGCTTCTGAGACAACGTCAGAAAGGCCTCTGAATGTCCATCTTGACTTTGGGAATTTGTCTTGCCCTGAGTCCAATCGTGGCTCTCCATGGATCCCTGACAGTCAAGCCTTTACAACAAAAGGCTCCATCTAGACAATATAAAGACTAAGGTATTGAAAGACCTCCTGAGCTGGGAGACTCTCACTCAAGTCTTGGGATAACACGACCCCCCAGGAACTCACGAGAGACCATCCTTGCTGCAATCACATGAGGTTTATTGACAGGACAGGAACCAGTGCACTGGGGCCGAAACTCATTTCCCACACAGGGGTAGAGAGTTCAATCCCGAGTAGCTGGGAGAAGGGGTATTTAAGGGAAGAAAAGTGGGTAGGGAGGGTGTCATTGGATAATTCTGAAAATGCCAGTGATCATTGAAAAATTCCAAAAATACCAGTGATAATCACAAGAGGGTAACTCCCTGTTCCTCAAGATTATTCTCAAGATTATAATCTAAATTTATCTTCAGCTAGTTCCTGAAACAGAGTCACTGAACCGGCTAACCTAGATTTTTGGCTCTTCTCTTCCTGCTAGATTTTTGACTCTATTTTTTCTGCTAGAGGGGTCTGGATTTATCCAGGTCTTTCAGTATCTCCATATTCCCTCCCCAAATTCCCAACCCACAGAATTTGGCTGAATTTGCTCTCCATGTGGATGTTGTTGTGTTGTTGATGCTGTGTTGTTGTTGGTTTTTTGGGTTTTTTTTTGTTTTTTTTTTTTTGTTTTTTGTTTTTTGGTGCTGAGTGTGGTGATATTTTGCTTATGCTTTAACAAATAAAGCTTGCCTGAAGATCAGAGTGCAGACCTAAGCCACAAGTTAGCCATACAGACCAGGCACTGGTCTATGCTTTTAATCTCAGCACTCGGGAGGCAAAAGCAGACAGATCCCTGTGAGTTCAAGGTCACCCTGGGTTACGTGAGATTGAATCTGTTTAAAAGAGAAACATAGCTCACACAATGGCAATTCCAGCACTTGAGATCACATACCTTTAATCCTAACACTAGGGAGGTGGAGACAGGGGTGATATGACTGGGTAGAGACAGGAATATAAGGTGGGAGGAGACCGGAGCTCAGGGCAGTGTGAGGATCTGTAGAGACAGATGCAGTCTGAGGAGTCATAGGGACAGGATCACCCCTTTGGTCTGAGCATTGGTAGAGGTAAGAACTCTAGTTCAGAAAAGCCACTCTGCTTTTCTGCCTTCAGTTTTCACCCCTGATAGCTGACTCTGAGTTATTATTTTAAGACCAATTAGAATTCATGCTACAGCTGAGGATGGAACCCTGGGCAAGACTGTACCACTGAACTATATAATTCCTCTCCCTGATTTTTATACAGGGTCTCACTAAATTGCTCAATATGAATTAGATAGAGTTCACTCTGTAGCCCAAGTAGGCTTTGAACTCATAATCCTCCTACTTCAGTCTCTGGAGAGTCTGGGACCACAGGTCTATACACTGTTCCCAATTATAGCTGATATTTTACTTGACTAAATTATAGGGCGGTTTGTTTCAGACTATTACAAACACTGACCAGTCTCAGTTTCTCTCATTGCTTCTAGAATTTGCCTTTATGATTGATTGGTTTAAGTTAAAATCTAGGAAAGGGTCCCACATTGATTTGAGATGACATTTTCTACTGAAGAGTGTTTAATTCACAAGAGTGTTTTGTATTTTTAATGATTATTTGTGGAGGAACTAGGTCTTTGGTCAGACAGAACACCTTCCGTTCTGCCTTGGGTAGTCTGTTAAAGGCCAACACTGTTTATTCTGTTCTTCTGTGGCTCCTAGAAAGTGAAGTTTAGCCTTAGAAAGCATTTGGCAAACATTTTTGCTAACAACCTAGAGACTCTGTATTTTGGGCTTCATCTGCCATTGTCATTCAAACCAATCACAAGTGGTATAAAGAAAGATTCAGGCGGCCACAGGCCAGTTACATTTTATTTTCAGCATGTGTAGAGGTTAGATTTGGTTCATCGGCCACTGTGTGCTGGTCCTGTTCAAACTAAAATTGAGAAAAACACAGTGTAGAATGCAGAGTCACCAAATAATTAAGGGAAACCAATATGAGAAGAAAACCAAACTAAAGAAACCTCAGAGTTGACGTCGATAAAGAGACTAAGTGAGACAAACAGAAACTTCACAGGAAGTCATAGAAGCTGCTCTGGAGAATTCTAAGACTCCACGTTCTTAAGCAATGAAAATACAGTAAGTCAAATAAAAAGTATAA